TTGCATTTGTAAAACGGCTGTGGATTATTTTTACATAGTGCTAACAGTGTAGAAGGCAACCAACAACAGGTGATTATGCAAATCGACTGTACATTCAACCCTAGAGTTTTTTAGCGCTTACATTTTGTTTCACATGTTCAGAGGGACTTCAGAATAAGTAAACACAGCTATGAAATTGCGCGACCGTTTACAGTAATCGAAATGTACACCGACCAGACGGTACTGCCCATTTATTTGCTCTAAGAGAAACGAATACATTGACAGTGTTGCTTTCTGTCTTTTCAAAACGGAGAAAAAATTAATGCCCCGTTTCGAAAAGATCAAGTACAATATGATAATGTAATTTTGAAGACTAAATCAACAAGTGTATTCGTTAAGACGTGTTTACAATTAAAATAAACGAGACAAAGAATTTTGTAGTAAATAAAAAACTTAATGGTCTTAGGCCGGACTAATAAGGAGTAATTCTATTTAAACAACTTCTCTTAGCGCTCAATCAAAAGCAAAAAGTTAGCTTGGAATATATTTATGTTTTGCGCAAAGATTGCTTTTAGCATTTAAGTACTAAATAAACACAAATCAACAAAGCGTAACTCGATTCCCTTAGGGCCGCCGCAACAGGAGGTACACATTTAACCCTTTTTTTATTTAAATGAAGGGTAGATTAATTAACCAAATATTATTTACATTTTTACTCAGGTATTCGTTAACACAGAGAAGTGATTTTTAATTTAATAAATTTGTACCGTGCATTTACTTTTTAATAAAAATAGCTTTACGAGGTAGGTATAACCTACAGAGAGTACAAACAATTAAAATATTTTATTCTAAATAGATATATTATTATCGAATAGCGGGTGAAAATGAGAGGATTCGTTTGAATTTTAAAGGTACGCACTACAAAGGCTTAGTCTAGAAGTTACTAGACTTGACTAATTCGACTAGAAGTCTAATTAGATACTTCATTATTCTAACGGTAGTTAATTTTATCAAACCGACACAATTAAATGTATGGGATAAAAAATACTCGTGGACCGGGACAACAATAGATTGACTCGATTCTACTAAGTCTACGCGGGACAGCACATCACCGTCCCGACTGGAAATNACAGCACAACACCGTCCCGACTGAAAATTCGAATAATTTCTTCAAACGAGCGACAAACAAAATTTCTACTAATGATGCGCCTAGACAATTTAAGCGTTTGTCACAACAAAATATACGGACACGAAGCATTTTACGACGGGACGCGAAGAACGGCACATTCGACAATATTTCAATCGATTATTGCCGAACTTCCGTTACCAATGAAGTTTACGATGCAAATTATAAAACTGAAAAAAGGACGCACTCTGTGATATATGAACGGGACCGTTCATTAGTATGCACGGACAGACGCAACAACACGCACGGCCGACGTCGAGCCGGTGTCCAGGATGTGTGTCACCTGCATACACATGGAATAGGCAGACCAATATAATGTATTCTACAATAGCCGACATTATTATTAACGAGTGCGCACACTAGCGTTTAATAGTATACGGGTGACAAGTCAACGTGCTAGACGTATAATATTATGATATTATTAACACAGCAATAGCACGTAACTCGCGACAGTGTCGGCTAGTGAAAACGCCGCGTTACTTCGGAAGGCGACTTACTGTGCTACTCCGTCTCACTCCCACCGAGTCAAAGTCATTAAGCGTTTCATTGTTTAGTTGAGCTCGCTTGCTAGCGCCATCGTCAATTTTTTAACTATTTCAATTTATAATAACTGTATTTGAAAATCAAAAATTAACAATAAAACACCTTACTTGCGAGTAATAACTTTAAGTGTCGGTCCATTAAAAACAACTTTTGTGTTCATTAAAACGCACATTACATACCCCAATTATGATTGATAACATAATTATATCGGATATTTATTTTAATTTGATTTATAAAATAACATTTTTGAACTATAACAAAAATTAATATACGTTATTCATCACGTTGGAAAAACTTTTTGATTATTCGATATAAATTTCTATCCATAAATTCAAAATGTTTAAAAAATTGTCCTGAAAAATCGATATCATAAATTTTACGCTTATAACAAACTGTATACAATTATAAACATATATCAAAACGCTAATTAACTAATTGTAAACTCAAATTATAAATAAAAATGTTTACGCTTTAAAAATGTGGGCAAACAATGTAAACAAAAATATTTCAACTCCCCGGAGTCTTTCTGCATACAAAATATAATTGCCAGTAAAAATAACAATCAAAATACACTATAAAGGTTTCGAAAACAAATCAACGAGATAGAATTCCATCGGATAGAGACAATAGTTAAAACTAACGTTGGACAGTTAACGTTTAACGACGCGAATGTGCTCTTTGTTTTACACTTATAATACATTAACAATTGAAAACAAAACAAGACATACCCATCACATTTACGCCGTCCAAATTAAATACCAATAATTGAAGTACGTTATGGAATATAATCTTTAAAAAATAAGGTCAGATAAGTGTACAGAAATAACAGGATGTGATTTTCTGCCTGTAAACATAATTGATCACTTAATAATATTTTGGAGCTACACAAAATTTAGTTATGTTTTACTTGAAAATCGACTATTTTAAAACCGCTGAAAATTATTATTATGACATTCTTACTTAAAAAAATTAAACAGATAACATGAGTTATATGAATAAAATAAGAGGGTCTGTCACAAACAGGATTCGGTTTACAATTGCGTGCACTTTAGCAAAAATTGGTTTATGTAGAAAATAAAAGCCATCAAGGTGAATTATTTTGGAATAAATGTAAAAAAAAAAATGGTTCATTATCTATAATGAACCAAAGCCTCAAAAATATAAAATTGTATTCAATTCAGCAATAATGATTTTAAAAAATCAATGAACTTGAAAGAATTCATGGCACAATATAAGATTATTATACAATGTAAGATTATTAAAAATCAGTATTTCGACAACTATAACTAAATAGGCAGCAATTTCAAAAGTAACTCGTCTACTCGCTTTGAATAACATAATAGAATACATAAATCCGTCATATTTATGTAAAAGTAATAAGGAAAACATTTTTTAGCTAGAATTTCATAAATATAATATATATTATACAATACAAATTTTAATTTAACTATGATATGCATTACATTTCGACATTGCACAATGATTGGAAACCGCAGAGGGATACGTTTGAACTATTTTATGATTTTAAAAGTATTGAAATAATTTATTACATTTGAGATTTATAGAATAATAGTGTAGTTTATTTTTGACGTAATTGTATTTATTTATAACAAGTTTCGACGGAAAAAATAATAAAATTATTAAATTCAACACATGGAAGAATGAAAACAAAAAAGGTTGAAATATGTTATAAATATTGAATTCCTCATTCGAAAGTGAACAGAAGCAGAAAATTGAACGCTGAAAAAGTTATTAATACTAACATTTTTTTTATGTACTAAATAATCTATTAAATAAATTTACAATGCATAAGATTAACTTATAAATCAATAGGAGTAACATTGGATGAAAGAATAAATATATATTTTGTTATAAGATCTAAAAATGACTTTATACGTTTGTTTATTAATTTGAATTACCTAACGATATAATATAAAAAAACTGTATATTCACAACTGAAGCTCAGCTATTAGTTACATTAGTATCAATAAATTAATAAGAGAAGTGTATTTTTTTAACTTTAGGTGTCATGTTTACGATATTCCTTAGACAAAAACTTTATGATGATAATTTTTTTTGATTTGCGTTTTTTAGTAGAAGCACCACATACACATATAACATTTATGTTATAATGTTCATGTTTAGATTCATAGAGAAATTATGAATATTACTACTATGAAACTAGGGTTTATATAATATTATAATGTTTAGACCAAAAACGAAGCTAAAATTAAATAAAATTATTTAATAAAAACTGATTTATGTATTATTTCGTAATTATATAGTTCGGGTATATTTAAAAAGTATAACGATTTTTTTAATTAACAAATTTTCTTTAAGTAACAAAATTATTATAATATTATTATTAACATTTATTCCTAATTTCATTATATATCTATAAAAGGAGAACTCAAAACAACACAGAAAGAAAATCAAGTTATTATTAGGTATTATGACAAAAATAGTAAATTAAGTTTACAAAGAATGAAAGTAAATTATAATGAGCAAAATCAGTTGAGGACATGCACAAGCTCACTAAATTAATGGTTAATGTAATTTAATATTTGTTCATGAATGTAATAGTGTAATATAAATACGGTAAATAATTTCCATTCAATTATGAATACGATAACTATTCCAACGAACATACTAAGTAAATAAATTTTACAAAGGGAATACCTCTTAGTCAAAGCAGTAAATATTAATAGTTATTGACGTTGCGTTTAGCATGTATTAATTCTATTTGTAAAATTCCACGGTAAACTTCGATACTCACAAAACAGACGTCATGAGATTTAATGATGAAATATAAAACAGTGTTGTCAAATAATCACTAGCGGTTTCTTATCATTAATGATAAATATTATTCATGATGATTAATTGTCACCGTAACGATCGAGTATACTAGTCGGCAAACGAAAATAATATTGCACTCGAGAAAAATTACCCTAATTTCCCATACAAACAAGATTAACAACAACCAACAATATAAATATATCCATAGCGAGTTTTGTATGACACTAGGAGGCGAACACGGTTTTTCCAGATAATCTTGTATTTTTGGATTTGACCATAACGAATGAAAAATAAAGCCTCCCCGTCCAAGACAAAGCAATTATTCTCAGTGAAATCACGACGTGCCTATTTAAAATGTGACATCGGCGAGTCCGGATTTTTATAACGACACGACAATTATAGTTATTCCCACAACAATTAAACGAATTAATCAAAGTCGACACGGTGAAAATCACGTGGCAACACTACCGACGGTTTAAGATAAAGTAACACTCACCAGGGGAGGCGTACGGCATGTCAGTGTAGTTGGAGCGGAGGCGATGTCGAGTTTTCGCAATGATCGAGCGAATCTTAACGCTCCTCGAGGAATTGTAGTTATCGATGGTAGCGATCGATAATGAACTTGTAGCGGAGAAAATGAAAAAACAGACTCAAAAAAATTAATAATAATAATAATAACAAAAAAACAAAACACGACAACGGGACACAATTATGAGCGTGTGTTTAGTTAAAACCAAATTACTCGGAAATTCAAAGATATCCTTGGGTAGGATAAAAAGTAATATTAACTTGTAATACTATTCGATCGTTAGAGGCGAGTAATGTTGTAACTAAAAAACAATTATTAACACAACAAAAGGAAAAAAGGAGGAACAAAAATCAATCGGATTACAAGAACACGAAACACATACGGACACGCAGAACGACACACGAAACCGACGGCTGCTACTTGTACACTTACTGCGGCGGACACCGATATGAATACGCGTAACAGTAACGTACCGACTCGCACACGCACTCGGTTTTACACACTGGACGCCGCGCGAATAGACGAGACGAGCACATACAACGAGTATTTAACGTTTTAAATAATCACAACAAACGAAAATACACACTCGGTGCAGTCAACGTCCACTGCCATTAGCCGATTTGCTAATGGGCATCGACACTACTCCGCACGACGACACTTGTTCTATATCTATATGGCCTATTACCCTCTCGTCCATTTCCCTTCTCGTTCTGTCTCTCTCGTTTACGTATCCAGTGATAACATGTCTATCACACCGTACGTCGATCGAGTGCAACGGCACGTCGAACGCTTAAAATGACACACACACTTGTATCGTATAATTATTATGCTTTTAGTTTTGTCAACGATAACAGACAATTGATAACTCGCAGATTATTAAGATTGCTTACGTTTAACTGAATAAGATTTTAACAGACTGAGTGTTAAATATCCGTGCAAATAACAAACCCTCTACAAGTGTCATTATTGCGCCATCTCATTCTTTACCATCAAAATGGCCATTTATGAAGTGTAAAACTGTGTTCGCTGTCTTATTGTGCTTGTAGTACACAGAGTTGGACTGGTCACGGTGGCAAAGGGGCAATAATAACAGAGCAATGAGAGCAGCCGTTTTGTAGAATTAATTTTTAAACATTTTTTTTTTTTGTTCATTCTCATTGCGATAGAATATTTTTTTGGCGCGAGCTGGGCCGTCACAGTTATTGTGTCCCTTGGCCATTGGCCTTCCAGTCGGCCTCTAATAGTATCTGTACATATGCGCATGTATTAATTGTAAAATTCCTAGTAAAAATAAACAAATAGAACAAATAACGCCTAAAGACTTTTCATAATCGATTAAAAATTGGTCAACCATTTTGCGTTAGAAAATCTCGTTATAATAAAAATTTATCAACGACCTATAAAAAGCCGGTCTGGCTTCTATACAACTTTCAGGGATCCGAAATTATTTCAGTTTTTCGAAAATTTTTATCATATCCTCCATGAAACCACCTCTGTCTGACGAAAACATCCTCTGATCATGGAAATTATTTAGGCTCAGTTTTTTTATAAAACCCATTTNCTGTCTGACGAAAACATCCTCTGATCATGGAAATTATTTAGGCTCAGTTTTTTTATAAAACCCATTTAAACCTAACCACTATTAAACGGAAACGTTTTCATAACGGAAAAAAGTTCAACCCCCAGCAATTCCACTGAATAAAAATTTCAGTGTAATAAGAATGATGAAATAAATATCATTATTTTATATGGAAAAATATATTGTTGATTATAACATATTGTCTATAATATTTGTTTGTGTTCACAAAACATATATAAAATAGCTAGAATTTTATTTTACATTATTATAAACAACAGTTTCAACAAATAGTTAGAGAATTTTCTTAGTTTGTTTAATACTTAATATTGAATATTTATTTAAAAAATGTGTTTTCAGTCAAACTATTCAAATTCAATTATAACTTAACGAAATTTGAAAAAGTGAACCGTTTCCTATTATACTAATATTAATGTAGCCAATATTGCGATAAATAAAATGAAAAATAGCAGATGATCAACTTCATT